TTAATTTATAAATCAGAATACACAATCAATGAATTAATCATAAATGTAATTTCGAGAATGCTATGCAAGATAGGTTAGTTTGTATGATGAATTCCAAGAATAAAAGTACATAGATTAGTTATATATCAGTTTATAAATCAACCGAAAGCTCGAGGTTAGTGAAAAAAATAATTTTAAAACACTCGTCGCAGTTCCGATATATACGATGTGTAAAACGAATCCATTTATAGAGGGAGTAATTGAGTTAGGTTCCACTCCGTCGTAAAATCTTCATACGTTATCAAATAATATCAATTCTATTAAAAAAGAAGTTTTCAGTAATTTTATATTAGATTTATACTTTTCTTTTTCTCCTCAGTCCATTAATATAATTTACTCGTCTTACGCAAGTTTGCAAACGTATACAATAACATCCTCCATTTACTAATTCTTCGAACTCGCAAACAAAAGCTGTAAATACTGTATATCGGACTTTTTCATGTAGAGAATTCTATTTAGAGGTCTTATAATAAAAGTATTATATGTCTCAAGATCATCGATAAATTAGCTTTAATATACGTTTTGGGGATAAATAATGCTCGTAAACCAATGTACCATTTTTTCTAAAATTTGTGTCATAAATTCGGGGTTCATTTTATAGAGTGTAGACTTGCCAAGCATTTCCTCTCAAACAGTCATGATTATATGAATGTTATTCAAAATTAGTTGATATTTTTGGAAATAATTAATAAAAGAGTGCAAAGTTAACGTGAATCCATCACAAACTTAAGCTACATTTATAATAATATATCAATGAATTAAAGCAATACATTCAGATATACATGATAACCTACAATATTACTATAATATCTAAAAATTCAATTTTTCTTTTGTTAATATTTCTATTATAAAAACATTGAAACTTACATTATAAAGATTATAGTATAAACTATACAATATAAACATTTGTTACATGAAAAATTACCAAATAGAAATAAAGAAGAACAGTAACAACATTACAGATGAATGATTTAACATCATAACAAAAAAGGATACAATATAATATTGATTAATTTCCAATATTTATTCAATTCTTTATATTTATTTTGTAGGTAATTAATAAAAACACATGATTTTTTATCTTCAATAAGTTTATATTTTAATTAATAAATGTTATAATAATTCTTTCAAAAATTATGTAAATTGTATTACAAAATATTACACCGTATCAAACAGAGTATGTTCAATGTTTATTTACAATAGGTGAAATAGGTAAACATATATAGATTATTAGTTTGTTATCGTATCCAATATGAAAATGCAATGATAACGAATGTATTTTACAGCAATATTTATAATCATAAGTTAATATGTTTGCTCCATTATTTATTGTTATAGTATTTAGGTCAAAAGTCAGTTGTGTTTCTAGCATTTATAATCATTATACTATAATTATTGAAGTTCAATGACAAATCCCAAAGGTCAGACAGTAGGAAATTGTAATTATAAGAATATTTAAGAATTGACATAATATCATTAATGTACTGATCATAAATTTGAAACTAAGTTCAACAAAGATACATTTTCTAATATTATCATAATAATAACTGCAATCAATAGTATATATGTATAAATGCAAAAAATAATGTTTATTATTATTACTATTATTATTATTTTACAAATTTTTCCTAACATTTCATTTCTAAGAATATTTTACATTTATACTTGAAGTAAGTATTTTTAATCACAATTTTAAAAAAACCTTCTTAGTATTCCAAATATATGACGAAATGTTACTGATTTAATATGAATCTTGCTTGATAACTTTTTTCTTAAGATTTTATGTTGAAGTCACTCTCTTATAACCAAGAGGAAGCTTTAGTTAAAACAATATATTTCCAATTATATTAAAACAACAATTATGCAACAATGTACTTTTCTACATAATTGCAAACATAAAAATAAAAAAAAACTATGAAACAACAAACGCATTATCATTACTATTTAAAATTGTCTTGTTGTTAAATATAAAGTTAATTTTGTTATATAAATAAAGTCTAATGCAATAAAGTTTACCTTTAATGCATTGAAAATAAACAAATGAAAGTAAAACAGAGCCACTTGAATTTAAAAATAATATTTTGTGTGTGTGTGTGTGTGTGCGGTCGTTCAAACGATACTTTTTTTTTGTCGCTTTTAAAACTTAAATAATTTAATATGTTAAATCATATTTTCAATAATTGAAAGATAATCATACATGATGTAGTTATACATTAATTACTTGTTTAAATTTGATTTACTGTAAAGAATCAATACAAATGGAAAAAATAACTATGTAAATAATAATAAAAGAAAATTTGAGTGGAAATGTATATATGTATTTTGTATTATTCAAATTGGTTTTAATTACTAAAGTGCAATTCATAACATAATTGATTTATATATTTATAAACTATAAATTCCGATTTTTTATAGTGTGAAAGAAAATATTCATTTAGTTTAGTTGTGGCGACTAATAGCCGAATGGTTAAGTCGCCCTACCCAGTCCTCTCGGTGCTTGCAGAAATAGGGCCATCGTTCATCACAGATGGGCAGTCAAATGAATGAAGTTCAGCATATGGACCTTCAGCCAAGTCGATGGACAATGACAGTGTTAAGGATAGCAGCAGATTCACAGTCAAAGGAAATAGTGGAATCGCAGAGCATCAATATACTACTGAAGTTAACCTACAAGACGACAGCCAACCAACAAATTAAAAAATCAAATCATCATAATGATAACTGTCCACCGTGAACGATTATCCATTTAATGTCAACCGCGTTCTTAAATTTACTCAATGTTCACATTTATGAACATATTGTGAATAGTTAAACAAATTAAATAATAAGAATAGTAATACTAATATCAGCATAACTATAATCACTTGACCTTGATTAGAAATATAATAATCAGAACCAGCGGAGCTTTCCAAGTTTTTGGATTGTATTGATTATTAATTAGTGGAAATGTTTGTGTTGTATGGTATATTTTTTGACAGGTTACGGCATTTACCTCTCAACTAAATACTCAAGGGTCTCAAATATTATGTTGAAGAAGGAATAAAAAAGTACAGTTCTAATATAATAATTATAATACTGTAGTATTATGTTACTAAATCCTAATTGAATTAAGAGATTCATATGGGAAATAGCAGTTTGCTCCACCATGTTTTGTTTGTCAATAATAGAAATAAAAAAATAATTATAGATTATAGAAACACTTGAAATGTAGAAAATTTAAATTTTAAATTTATAACATAAAGGGTTTAATTTCTACTTATTTGCAATGAACCTTCTAGTTACTACTTACTATTTGAATATTACTTATTTTGAATACAAAAATATTATTGGGCGCTTTGTTTAATTGTTTTTTGATATATTTTTCTATTATTGTTTATTAATTTAAATATATAAAGTTTCTTATTTAATTAACAAATAATTTTACAATTAAAAAAGATAAGCTTGATTTTACGAAATATTTTATTATTATGTGATTTTGCATTACAAAATTTTTGAGATTATGTTTTATTACCCGAATTTTTGTAATTTTTTAATATATTATGTAATTTGGTATTTTTTGGTGTATTTGGCCAATAAACTATTAATATTTTAAATTTTTTATAAAATATATGATATTTTTACTGTTGTTTTTAATATCCAAGATTGATCACAAGGACACGTTAAGAAAATATCAATAAAATGTTTATTTTAAATTCTCAATGAAAATTATAATAAAACAACGAAAATCAATAAAACATTAAAAACAAAATCGTAAATCAATTATAATAATACGTTTTTAATAATAATATTTATTAGCCCTTTCCAGCCCTTTGGTTCCAAATGGAATAATTAATTTTAAATTCAACAGAATAAGATTAATTTTTTTACATCTGACATCTAACAAAAGTTAAGCAACGTGTATGAAGTATAATACCTGGGTGGTCGTAGCTTTAAATTTTATTTTAATACATTAAAAAAAATATCGTCGCGAAAAAAATGCGAATCTGTTCTAGTAATTAATAAAAAAAACAGCGTATTTGTGTAGGGTAGAATTGGAATAATTATACAGTGGAATCTCACTTAACAGGGCCTGATTATTGAATCTATTAATAATAATAAATGATTATAAACAACAAAACGTACATCCTATAAATCAATACATAATAATAATGACAATCAAATAATAACAATTCTGAACAAGAGAGAAAACAAAAACCTAAAATGAAAAATAATCAAGGCTAATCAAAGGGCTATCGACCGAGGTCTATCCGATCGGGAATCTATTAATTTAATAGATTATTAAAAAATAATAAAGACAAATATATAAATTAAACCTAAAATCGAGTGATTCACAAATAATTGTATATTTATTTATTATTTTATTTTTACTTATTTTCAGACTTTCGACACTCCAAATTAATAAGGATTTTTTTTTTATATAAAATAACATAAAACACATCACAATTCTAATACCACAGCTACTTAATAAAGTATGTCTTATGGTTCAAAACAATCCACGTATAATAAATTCTGACAGATGCAAGTAAATCAATAATCGAGGAAATTTGAAGGTGCGTGATGAAAAATGTTGGAGTAGAATTATTAATTTATGAAGGCAGCGCACTATATTTAGATACAGTAAAAAAGCAATCCGAACGGTGTGTGTTAAAAGAAGTAGGTTGAAATCTATTTGAATAAATAGAGTACAATGATAATGTGTAAGGAAATACGAGATGGTACGTGTTGTTGTTTCGGAAAAAGAAAATTGTACATAGTGTGATTGTTTGTAATTGTGCCGGTGATGGTTCTATGCGGAAAGTAGTTCATTGTTCTTCTATGAAGCGATTCGCTCCAACTCAACTATTGACCGTTTCTGTGCGTGGTGTTCGCGAGACTCTGAGCATGAGAGCATGAGCAAACTGATTCCAACAGCCCATTGGCCAGAGCGGATGGTCTGACATAGGGCCATATCTCGCATCAAATAAATAGTAAGCACGAAAACCGCATGTCTCAGTTCGCGTTCAGTCATTTGCGCGCGAATAATACACTATACTATACCTACAACATTTTATTATTTATACTACTGAGTGTGCTGTGTATTGTACATTCACTATTCCTACGAAATTGGGGATTTACACTAATTTAGGTAAGTCAAATTTTATTAATCTAATTGTTCAGCTAAATTCAGAGCACCTACGCTGCACTTCACTAAATTAATTGAAAATTAATTGATTTTCGTGCACTTTGCCACACAGCGAAAACAATAATTTTCATTTCAAATACTATCTAAATATTTGCCAAACCAACTCGTACCAGTCAGCAGGAATTTTTCCAATAGCTTCGAATAAATTATTGATTACATTATCTACTAAATTAAAATTGGCACAAGTCATTATAATATATTAAACATCCTTTTTTTCGCCGCGCTATTGTTGAACGAATAACTAACTGTAAATTCTTTCGGCTAAATTTAAATTGTTAACAGGAAACAAAAAGCCGTTCCGCTACTACGCGCTATAGGATACGCTAAAAAGTGTAACAGTTGATTTTCTCACAGCGTTTACCATAAAAAATCTCGCTTCCTATTTCAATGCGGTAATTCCAATTCCTACGCAGAAATGAACGCAAATTGCCGAAAATTAAGTTTGTTTACGCTGCGTCGTAACCATGGCAACTCTCAAAGCGTTTGCATAATTCATGTGTGCCGATTCTTACGTAAGCCGACCTCTGTTGGATTTTTTTTTCTATATTTATTTAGTGAATTACTGGATGCGTGGAATCGCTACGTAATTGCTTCTTTTTTTCCTTTCGGTCTGCTGCAAGTAACAGCTATGTTATTATTGTCTATTGTTGCTTCTCATGTAAAATAAATTCATTGAGTCGTTTCTTTTGTGCGCTCATTAAACGTATCAATTTACAAATATTTTAATACATTTCCGGTGTACATATTAAATTGGTTAAATGAAGCCACAAAGGAGTTCCAATATCCATATATGCGCATATTTTATTTGATATCCGTGCCAGTTGATCGGTGCACCCTCTATTATATACGTGAAATTCGTGATCAATAGACCCAAGACCATTCATTATCGATCCGTGGTTTCGCTCGAAAACATGTTCTAAATGTATCCTGCATATATTTGTTTCCAGGTAATTACTACTAAAAGACAAAAGCAAAATGCCAGCCAGAATTACTGAAACGCAAAACGGACACATGAACGAAGTCACAGACGATATCGTTATCACAGGCATTTCTGGTCGTCTGCCGGAGAGCAACAACATTGAAGAGTTCAAGCAACAGCTCTTCGATGGGGTTGATTTGGTCACCGACGACGAGAGGAGATGGCCGTCAGGATTATATGGACTTCCCACACGCACCGGAAAATTGAAAGACATCGCGCATTTCGATGCCACGTTCTTCGGAGTCCATGCAAAACAAGCTCACGTTATGGATCCACAATTAAGATTATTACTAGAACTGACACACGAAGCCATGGTTGATGCTGGCGTTAACCCAACAGAGTTCAGAGGATCAAGGACCGGTGTCTTTATTGGAGTTTCCGACAGTGAATCTTCAGAGTTCTGGACAGCGGATCCAGAACCGATCAATGGATATGGCCTCACTGGATGCTGCAGGGCTATGTTTTCAAACAGAATTTCTTATACTTTTGACCTGAAGGGTCCCAGTTACGCAATTGACACAGCCTGCTCTAGCAGTTTGATAGCTATGCAACAGGCCATAGCCAATATTAAATCAGGACAATGCGACTCCGCCATCGTAGGTGGTGTTAATTTACTCTTGAAACCTACATCGTCTCTTCAATTCCATCGTCTTGGCATGTTGAATCCTCATGGCATGTGTAAAGCTTTTGACGTCGATGGTAATGGATACGTCAGATCTGAAGCCGCCGTCGTAGTTTTCCTCCAAAAGGCAAACAAGGCTAGCCGTGTTTACGCCACCGTCTTGGGAGCCAAAACAAACACCGATGGAACCAAAGAACAAGGCATTACCTTCCCATCAGGACAAATGCAAAATCAACTGATGAGAGAAGTCTATGCGGAATCTGGTATCAATCCAGATGATGTTGCTTACATAGAAGCTCACGGCACAGGAACCAAAGTTGGAGATCCACAAGAAGTGAACTCAATCGCAGACATGTTCTGTAAGAACCGTAAAACACCTCTTCTCATTGGATCAGTCAAAAGTAACATGGGTCACTCAGAACCAGCGTCTGGTCTTTGCTCTCTCGCAAAAATTGTCATCGCTATGGAATCCGGCGTTATTCCAGCGAATCTCCATTTTAAAACACCAAATAAAGATATTCCAGCGCTTTGCGATGGTAGATTAAAGGTAATTCTCAATAATTTAAAAAGATATATCTCCACTAAACTTATTATTTTGTAATTTCAGGTGGTCGATAAGAACGAAAAGTGGAACGGCGGAATTATTGCTATAAACTCTTTCGGTTTCGGAGGTGCCAACGCCCATATTGTTCTTCGATCGAATCCTAAACCGAAAGTGACCTGGCCAGCAGAACCAATCCCAAGATTGGTTTCTGTCTCTGGACGTACAGAAGATGCTGTAAATAATTTCTTAAACAAAATCAGAAGTGAAAAGCATGACGAAGAATTATATGCACTTATTAACAAAGTTCACAAAAATAATATCGCTGGACATGGTTACCGCGGTTTTACCGTATTGGGAGATAATAATATTAGCGAAGTTTCCGAATACAGAGAATCGAGACCAATTTGGTTTATATTCACTGGAATGGGATCCCAATGGCCTGGAATGGGAAAAGATTTAATGAAAATTGAATCATTCAAGAACTCCATCAAACGTTCTGCCGAAACGCTTAGACCGTACGGAATTGACTTGGAAGATATTCTCATCAATAGTGATGACAAGACTCTAGAAAACATTCGCAACTGCTCTGTATCTATTGCCGCATGTCAAATTGCTTTAGTTGATACTTTGAAAGTTATGGGTATCCAACCCGATGGTATTATAGGACATTCCGTTGGAGAAGTCGGCTGTGCTTATGCTGACAATACTTTGACCGCTGAACAAACTGTATTAGTAGCTTATGCTAGAGGAACAGCAATACTGGAAAGCAATATTGCCTATGGTGAGATGGCAGCCGTCGGTCTTACTTGGGAAGAGTGTAAGAAAAAATGTCCCGCTGACATTTTCCCTGCCTGTCACAACGGCGAAGACAGTGTTACAGTTTCCGGTCCACCAGAATCTATTAAGAAGTTTGTCGCAGAGTTGACTGCTCAAGACATTTTCGCTAAGAAGGTGAATAGTTCTGGATTTGCTTTCCACAGCAAATATATCGCCGACGCCGGACCAAAACTCAAGAAAGCTTTGGAAGCTATCATTACAACTCCAAAAACTAGGTCCTCGAAATGGATTTCTTCGTCTATCCCAGAATCTGCATGGAATACAGCAATTGCCCAGCAAAATTCTGCAGCTTATCATGTTAACAATTTATTGTCGCCAGTCTACTTCTATGAAGCCTGCAAACACATTCCAGAAAATGCAATTGTTGTTGAAATTGCACCACATTGCTTATTGCAAGCTGTTTTGAAACGTTCTTTGCCAAAAACCGTTACCAATGTTGGGCTCGTTAAGAGAGGACACGCTGATAACGTATCTTTCATGTTAACCAATATTGGAAAGTAAGTTGTCTAAACTTTTCTTAATTATTAAATTTTACTAATTCCTTGAACTCTAGAATTTACAACGCTGGTGCTCAACCTGATATTGCCAACCTTTACCATCCAGTTTCATTCCCAGTTGGACGTGGAACTCCAATGTTAAATTCAATGATCGAGTGGGACCATTCAATCGAATGGGATGTAGCTAATTTTGCCAACAAAGGTTCAAGGTCTGGAGAATTAGTTATTGATATTGACTTGAGTAAAGACGAATTCAAATATTTGTCTGGACACGCTATTGACGGAAGAGTCTTGTTCCCAGCAACTGGATATTTGGTAAATACATAGAATCATATAATTAAACACATATTTATTTTTATTATTTTATTTTCATAGACACTGGCATGGAAAACTTTCGCGAAATTGCGCAACCAAGATTACGAGCAACTTCCAGTCATAATGGAAGATGTTAAATTCATGAGGGCTACAATTATGCCAAAGGAGGGTTCTGTAAAATTCTTGATCAACATATTTGAAGGTTCAGGAGAATTCGAAATCTGCGAGAGCGGTTCCGTCGTTGTCTCAGGAAAAATCTTTGTCGCTGAGGAAATTGACAAAGAATTTTTGGCTTTGCCCGAAAAGAAACCACTGCCTTCCGAAACCGACGTCTTAACTTTGAACAAATCTGACATTTACAAAGAGTTACGTCTGAGAGGATATGATTATACCGATATTTTCCGCGGAATTGAAGAATCCGACAACTACGGCCACATCGGCAAATTGAACTGGGATAAGAATTGGATCAGCTTTATCGACACCATGCTCCAATTTTCTATTTTGGGTCAAAGCATCAGACAATTATATTTACCAACAAGACTACAAAGGGCCATCATTAATCCTAAATTACATATGGAGCAATCAAAGGAACATGTTCCAGTTTACATGTACCGAGAGATTGGTGTCGTTAAAGCCGGAGGCATTGAATTAAGAGGAATGAAGGCCAGTTTGGCTCCACGTCGTCAACAAACACAGGCAGCTCCTAAATTAGAGAAATACCAATTCGTTCCATTGAACAACGGAGTTATTCAACATGAAAATGAAGACAAATTTAAAATTAATGTTTTGACCGTCGCTTCCCATCTGGTGTTGGAGAACAGCGCAGGTGCTTTGAAAATGAAAATAGTTGAAGTTAATATGGGAAGAAATGCCGAGAATTTACTTGTCTCTCAATTGCAAGACATTCTTGAACGCGAACCCATGCTTGCTGTCGATTGTACAGTTGTCAGCCCAACCTCGATGGAATCTGCTGCATTCGAAGAGAAAAATATTAAAATCGTACAAAAAGATGTAACTTCTGGAGCTTTTGAACAAAACGCTCACTTAGTTGTATTGAGCGATATTTTGACCTACAAGAAAACTGACGTTTTTAATAATGCAGTTGCATCGTTGAAGACAGGAGGTTTTATCTTATTTGAAGAACCAAAGGATAAAATTTGCACTGAAATGATCACACAAGCTAACTTTGAAGTTATTTTCCAACAAACAACTAACACCAAAGTATACATGTTGGCACGTTTAACCAATGAAATTCCGACCAACGCTATTGTGATGAATATTACAGAGACAAACTTTGACTGGGTCGAACCACTGAAAGATGTTTTAACAAAGAGCGAAAATGATGGAACGCGCATTTACTTGGTTTGCGAAGGTGAAGAATTCACCGGCCTTGTAGGAATGATGAACTGCATTAAACAAGAACCAGGCGGCACCAACGTTCGTGCAGTTTTTATCCAAGATAAAACGAATAAATTTTCATTGAATTCCAATTACTATGTTAGTCAACTAAAGAGAGATTTAATTCAAAACGTATTAAAGGATGGTGTATGGGGAACATACAGACATATTCTTTTGGACCAAGCTGTTGAAAACAGTAAATTGCAAGTTGAACATGCTTACATTAATGCTTTGACCAGGGGAGATTTAGCTAGCCTGAAATGGATCGAAGGACCATTGAGATTTTACAAAGACGAGAAACCAAACACTGAAATGTGTACCGTTTACTATGCCCCACTCAACTTCAGGGACATTATGTTGGCTTCCGGAAAATTACCCCCAGATGCACTCCCAGGTGATCTTGCTGGACAAGATTGTATTCTTGGTTTAGAATTCTCTGGTCGTGACTCCAAAGGACGAAGGGTAATGGGTATGGTATCTGCCAAAAGTATGGCAACTACTGTCCTTGCTGATCCAGGCTTCTTGTGGGAAGTCCCAGAAAAGTGGAGTTTGGAAGAAGCTGCTACCATTCCAGTCGTTTACGGAACTGTAAGCATTTATAAATAATATATTATTCAGAAATTTATTTTTCGTTTACGTTTACAGAGTTACTATGCCCTCTGCGTAAGAGGTCAATTGCGTCCAGGTGAAACCGTTCTCATTCATGCTGGTACCGGTGGTGTGGGTCAAGCCTCTATTACTATCGCTCTTCACATGGGCTGCAAAGTATTCACCACTGTGAGTAGTCAAGCTAAGAGGGACTTCTTGAAGAAAACATTCCCTCAACTCACCGATAATTGCATTGGAAATTCCCGTGATACCACCTTCGAACAATTGGTGTTGACTGAAACTAATGGACGTGGTGTTGATTTAGTCCTGAACTCTTTGGCTGCATCGCAATTGCAAGCGTCTGTCAGATGTTTGGCTATTGGCGGAAGATTCTGTGAAATTGGAAAGGTTGATTTGTCTAACAATTCGCCACTGGGAATGGGAGTTTTCTTGAAAAATACCACTTTCCATGGAATCTTATTAGACGCCCAGTTCGATGGAAAGATTGATTCACCCGACAAGTTGGCAATTGTTCGCCTTGTTAACGAAGGTATTGCTAACGGAACTGTACGACCATTACCAAACACCGTTTATGCAGACAGCCAAGCCGAACAAGCTTTCCGATACATGGCTTCCGGAAAGCATATTGGTAAAGTATTACTGAAGATCCGCGATGAGGAAGCTCGCAAAACCATGTTGCCAAAACCAATGACAGTAAGCGCTATTCCAAAATCATACATGGACCCAGAAAAGGTTTACGTTTTGGTTGGTGGTCTGGGTGGTTTTGGTTTAGAATTGGCCGACTGGTTGATCACTCGTGGCGCTAAAAAAATTGTTCTTACATCGAGAAGCGGCATCAAGACGGGTTATCAATCCCTCTGCATTAGAAGATGGAGAAAGAACCAAGGAATTTCTGTTAAAATCTCAACTGCCGATGCCACATGCGTTGAAGGAGCCAAGAAATTATTGCATGAATCTGCTCTACTTGGTCCAATCGGTGGTATCTTCAACTTGGCTGCTGTTTTAAGAGACGCTATGATGGAGAATCAATCTGCAGCCGATTTCAAAACCGTTTGCAGACCGAAAATTGATGGCACCAAATACCTGGATGCAGTTTCCAGAGATTTAGCCCCACATTTAGATTACTTCGTAATTTTCTCCTCTGTTTCTTGTGGTCGTGGTAATGCTGGTCAGGCTAATTACGGTTTGGCAAATTCTGCTATGGAACGTATGTGCGAAGCGCGTCAAGCTGCCGGTTTACCAGCAACTGCTATTCAATGGGGTGCCATTGGTGATGTCGGTTTGATCTTGGAAACCATGGGTGGAAATGATACTGAAGTTGGTGGAACCATGCCACAACGAATTTCATCTTGCTTGAACACTATGGATATCTTCTTGCAACAACCGAATCCAGTGGTAGCTAGTATGGTGTTGGCCGAAAAGAGGAAGGGCAATCGTGACGCTAATCAAGTTAAATTAACTGACGCAGTCGCCAATATTTTGGGATTGAAGGACACAAAATCAATCACAGCTTCCTGCACTCTTGCGGATTTAGGAATGGATTCTCTCATGGGTGCTGAAATCAAACAAACTCTTGAACGTAATTACGATTTGGTGCTCAGCGCACAAGAAATCAGGGCATTAACGTTCACTCGTTTATTTGAATTGGAATCGGGATCTGGAGCAGCTGACATTATCGATGACAAGAAGAAGTCCGTCGACGATAATCAAGTTCAATTTGATGATCAATTGATGCCGTCAGCGACATTGGTCAAAATGCCAAGCAAAGACAGCACCAATAAAACTCCAATATTCATTATTTCCCCAATCGAAGGCGTCATAACAGCACTGAAGGGATTCTCTAAGGACATCCAAGCTCCAGTGTATGGTTTGCAATGCACATCGGCTGCTCCCCTTTCGTCAATCGGCGATTTGGCTAAATTTTACATTGCACAAATAAAAACCATCCAAGAGAAAGGACCGTACACATTGATTGGATACTCTTTCGGTGCTTGCGTCGCTTTCGAAATCGGGGTACAATTGGAAGCCCAAAACGAAACTGTTAAAATATTCTTCATTGATGGATCTCCATCTTACGTTGCAACCCATACCGGCAAAGCGAAGACAACTAAAATTAAGACTGGCAACGAAGCTGCTGAGCAAAGCGAAGCACTCTTATTCTTTATCCATCAATTCAAGGAAATCGACCAACCTAAAGTATTGCACGAGTTGATGAATTTGAATACATTTGAAGAGAGAGTGAAGAAGACTACTGAAATCGTGACATCATCTACTAACTTCTCCGCTGAACAAGTGTCCGCTGCTGCCGCCAGCTTCTATTACAAATTGGTTGCAGCCGATAAATATAAGCCTACCGGTCAGTTCAAAGGAAAGGCTGTTCTCGTCAGGGCCATAGACAATTACGTACAAATGGGTGATGACTATGGACTAACTGATGTAAGTGTTTTTATAAGTAATTTATTATACACAAGTCACTAATAAAATATTTGTTTTATTATGCAGGTATGTAAACAGCAAATCAACATCCAAGCATTGGAAGGTAACCACAGATCTATCTTGAATAACTCGACTTTGGTCAACATCGCAAATACCTTGTATTTGGAGGAGTAGATTTTTAAAACAAAAACTAATTCCAATTTTTTAAAGATAAAACTAAACAAAACGTAAACCTATGAAAGAAAAAACTGACTTGATTTTTTTTTTGCAAATATTAATTTATATTGTTTTTCTTTTTAGTTCTTACGTATATTTATATATATATATTATATATATTTTTAGAATTGTTTCTACTTTTTACACAGGGATTTATTGTATGTATATTTAACTAAAAATTGTAGGTATATAAAAAATACTCAGTATGGTGTAGCAAATAAGTAAATGTAAATATATTTCGGAAATGTGTAGCTCTGATGATGATGCAGGGTTTGTTGCTTAACCTTTGTAACATCATCACAGCTATTAAATAATAAAAATTTAAGTAACTTAATAATAATAAAGACTTAAACAATTATGAGCATATTTTATTTATTTATAAATTGAACCCTAATTTCTTATTGTTGGAACATTAATGGAACTTTTTATGTCACAAGTGAATGATATAGTAATTGCGTAACGAGTACCAGTTGTGACTCGTTCCACGAAATGCACATTTTCTCCCCCCGATGTGAACATGGAGACTCTTCCAAGCTTCGGCTCCACGGTCTTATTTGAAGGAATATCTTTGAAGATGAAGCGACCGCCTTTAAAATCTGCACCATAATCGGATAAATACAGCAAAGCTGTATAATGGAATGACTCGTAAGTTTCCTAAAACAGGGAATTAGTAAAAAAAAAGTTCTCTAGTTTGTTTTCACTATTTACTTTGTCTATATGCACGAGCCAGTATTTATCGTGACTTGTTTTAGGCTCGGCATTGGTTAACTTTGAGAAGAAAGTCGGATGTGTTAGAAACAAATTGTTTGGTTCGATTTGAAACAGTTCAGCGATGGCGTGTTGTATCTTTTCTTTTACTGTTTTGTACGTGTTAATGAATTCTGGGTTAAATAAATTATTTGCTTCGTTGATGGTATGCATATTAACAAATTTGTCTTTATAAGACAAAGCTCCGGAATGAATATCCAATATAGAGGCACCACCCGAGGATCCTCCAAAAGCAAACCCTTTCTTAGCCATGTCTAATAAGGTTAACGCTTCCATTTCCGTAACCAGCTTGTCAGTGACATATCTTCCGCAAGTTTTCGGCACACAATTGGGAAATACTTCGATATCCTTGGTGTATTCTGAATCGCAATCGAATGTTTGTCCACGATTGTTCAGAACATCTTTGTGCGATGCAAGGACGGTTTCCTTCCCTTGCTTGGAAAAGTACCATAAGTAGATTACTACTCCTACAATTATAATACCTCTGCTCCATACTCTCTGGTATGGAAAATTCGGCATAGGTCCATATTTCCTGAAAATACAAAATTCTTACATCAATTAATTGATATGAAAGCACACTACAAATTAGATGAAGATTACAAAATTATTACATGAATAAATTATTAATTCTAAACAAATATTAATTAATTCACTGTACCGATTCTTTTGATTCCGAGTAACAAAAAATTAATTTCTCAGAAAATCACTATAAATTATAAAAGTTAAATTAAGGGGAAACATTATAAGTAAATAAAAATAAAACATAGTCCGGAGGAACGACTACGGTCAAATGCGGCAATATGTTGTAAATAAAACTATACATTTTATCTATTATTATACTTTTCATTTGGCAAATTTAATCAATTTAAAAATCATCTAATTTAAATACAATGGGTGATATAAATTAAAAAATATAAAACTGTAATAATAATAATTAGTATTATTTGCACACACTGCTGTTTATTGTAAAACAATAATATTTATTGTATACACAGAATAAACATGTACTATTGACCGCGATTTTTTTTCGCCATGTTTGCAAAAAATATATTAAATCTTTGTTATTATTATTAATAATACTAATAATTTATTGGCCAAACATCAATACAAAAGAAAAAAAGTACATTCTATACATAAATAAATTCTAACATAAGATAAAAAAAAAATATTAATAGGCTGGCCAAAGGGGTAACGGCCGAGGTCTTTCCGCCCGGGTATTATTATTATATTTGTGGATATATTCAATAGTGGATTATCGCACAGACACAGGAAGCGTGCGCCTGGGTCCTTAAATCTTAAAATAGGCCTGGTTCTCTTATCAGCAAAAAACTGAACTAGTGTATTTTCACAGCGTTATCATCATTGAAAATTTTACCATTCAAGAAATTTTATAAGGCTCTAAACAATTGGTAATCAGAACAACATCTTTACGATTTACCATTTCTAGCCGATTTTCTTGAATTGCAGAGTTTAATCTATCCAATTGGCAACAATACACATCTGAATTAATTGTTTGGTTCCTGGAAGCAGCTCAAAATACACAATACCTTTGTAATCCCACCAAACTGCATAATCTTCTTTTGGTGCATTTCAGCTCTCGATATTCATTTTCATTATACTATGACCGCTATTATTCGATGTCTCCTTTAAAAAAGGTTCGATTTCATTTCGTTTCGTTTGAGATGCAAATCGCAGATGTTAATGCGTTGAGCTAAACGAATTTCCTTTAATGCATGAGGAATCCAAATATCGTGTTTTTAATGATGGGATTCATGTTTTAAATAATTTTCAATTGTTGTGTCCGAATCAATTATGGCTTTGATTTGATCTTCATCAACTTCATTTAGCCTACCAGATCGTAGTTCATATTTGAGTAAAAAATCAAATTTATCAAACCAATTCCGGCACTGTCTTTCTTTTAAAGCTTCATCACCATACACATCCCTTAACTTTTTAGCAGCTTTTATTGCGTTCTTTCCTTTTCGGAAATAATAAAACAAAATATGACGAAAATGAACGCTTTTGTTCTCCATGTTAAAATTGAACCCACACAAACAAATCTCACAAAAAAAATACACTGAATTTTAAGAAAGCTAAATTTCACAACTGACAAATGCCAAAACTATATAATTGTAACATTAGCAGAAGTCATGCAAAAGAAAAACTATTCCCATCCAAATTTAAAATCAGCCTTTACTTTGTTGCCAATTTAATTATCAAAATATGTTCAAATTGGAAATTGTATGCTATTTGTTATAATACTTATAATTTTTATAAATGCTTTTAGCAATTTGATTCAATTATATTTTTATACAATAATAACATACATTTTATTATTATTGTATGGAAAGGAAAAAACATTTTTTTTTAATATTATTGAAATCAATATTATTATTAAATAATAATGCTAATTTATTAGCAAAATACAAGAAAGTACAACATGAGCCAAAGGGCTATAAACTGTAGTATTTCTATACTGTTATAATAATATTTACAAAAGAAACTAACGTCTTCAATGGGTAATTGATGGTTGGCAACTGGCTACATATGCTGCGAATTGTACTTAACGGATTACGTAAGATAAAAGTGTAACATGAATTTTAGATTAATACACATTTATTAACTAAATGCAAAGTTAAGATTTCAGTGTATAACATTGAAATCGGTGTAAAAAAAATGCATAAATGTAATAATATTAATATAAAACAATATAGTTATAATAAAACTTGAATAGTTCATAGTTCAGCAAGGTTATACAATTAATAATTAGAATACAAAATATATTAACAAATTGAAAGACCAAATAGGCTTTTGTAATGTTTCATAACATTTCTTTCCTTGATTTATGTATAATGAATACAATATGTTATTAAAAATTATAACATATAGTTCCATTGTTATTAAACAATATTAAATAAATCACAATAACAATTTTAACAGTGAGATTTATTATTGATTTTCTGCTATAATCAAGATTTCATCTGAACTGATAAATTGTATTAAATAATACTGAATACGTTTATTATAGTCATATTACTTTAGCATTAACAATTATACTAATTTATACCTATTAAAATAAAATAAACTGATTTAATATACATACAGTTTATCTTTCTCTGGAGATTCATCTATTTTCTCGTTGTCTTTGCTGGGTTTTCGCTTAATTAAAGTTGGTGCAGTCATTATAATAATTTATTTTAAATTGATTGCAATATGTAACAATACATTGTACAAAAAAAACTTACACTTTATTACTTATTTTGACAAGACTCTATCATAGAATATAAACAAAATCAATAGTCATATATAGGCAACCATACAGACTACCTCTCAACAGAAAACCAATGATGCCAATGTTAGAACTACAAAATGTCATACTTTATTTATGGTTTGAATATCTAGATTTCTAATTAAAATATTTTTTTTCGGCCATCTATCTCACATGAGACAATGAACTGGACTGGTGACAATTAAAACAAAAAAATATATAAAAAGTCAAGGGATTGGTCCAGTAACCAACCTTAACATAATAACTTTAAAGGCAGACGCAGAATCAAGACACGCACTCACGAACTACTTATTCTAAAAACGATTTGGTAGGTCTTTGGGCTTGAAACGCTTCACTCTTCGGCGATGGTTCTCTGTGTTAGTTAGCTCCACAGCAAAGGGGGTTGGATTTATTTTTAATAATTAAATTTATAAATTAAACGATATTTGTAAATTACTTCATTTAGGCCACTTTAATACCATAAATCTTTTATATTTTATGTATAATTACTTTGGTAATAAATATTTTTAATACTCTAATACTAATATTGTTGATAATAAAAATAAATATATCCATGTGTCTATTGACACATGATTATTATTATAATATAGACAATCGTATATGTCAAATATCTATCAATTTGACATTTTCGTAAAGTTATTTAAAAAAGATAATTTAAAGCCTCCTTCAGGTATAGAAATAGGACCATGCACATGATAATAAAAGGAAGGTATGTTAATAATGAAAACATCTAAACTTCTCATTGTTTTCAATCATCGTTTCAGAGACATTATGCAATTTCAACCAATTGAACGAAAGGACTTAGAAAAAATATTTTTGAAACCTCATCCTGTCTTGTTAGACTTTATTCAAGCTTTTGACGACGTTTGGCACACTAATTTGGTTGATAAAATAAAGAATACATGTCCCTATTTATTCTATCAACTATATAATTTGATATATATTTAACAGAAACATTTTTTCATGAACAAAAATCAAGTTGAAAACTCTGTCCTATTAAAAATTAAACATATTTATGTATTTTTGGTAATAAATATTAACAAAAAGTGTATTTAGACTTTTCCTTTATATAGTTTGTGAGTTCCAAAACTCAAGGTAAAATCAATTGTATTTGCAGATAAAATTAATGACATCTAATAATATAAATTAATTTCGCTTGGTTTTAGCTCTTTGAAGCAAGGTAACAAATGTCATTTCGCGACCCATACAAAATTTAAGTGGGCCCATAGGTTGAGAAACACCTATATAAAATTCTATAAGACGCTCCCTAATTTTGAGTATATTTTTATGCGTAAAATTATGCATCTGAAAAATAGGGAATTTGGTCACAATAAGTTAAGTATGGTCAGGAAATATTTGGTTAAAGAAAACTTGTTTTGTCAAGATTGCACTTTTTAGTTTCCATATTACCTAATTATTTTACCTCACTTTAAATATTAATATTATATTATATAATATACGTTATGATATATTTTGTTAATGTTTATTTTTCAATAAAAGTGCTATAAATTGTCTGCTCTGAGTGGACACCTAAATTAGTGCAACAAATACTTAACATTACAAAATAATAAGTGCTATACATTCGACTAAATAACTTAGTAATATTCAATATTACAAAGACACCTATCATTCCAAGTGTTACGGGTATAAAGGCAAAGTAGATGGCGTTATGTATATGAAGTAAATATTTAAAAGAGTTCCAGTACTCGCAGATAGAATAGAAACTAAAATAAAGTCGTGGAATAATCAATACATGGAAGGTCGAATAACAAACAAACCTGTACACCTGTTCCCAGTTGGTCGGCGGCCGTTGCTTTCGCCATAAGGGTTGAACTTGTTACAGAGTCGCGCGCGATACTCGGCATTACTATTGCCACCGAAACTACTTTTTTTCGTTCACATGATTTGATTTGTTATTTTTATTTTTGAAGTTTTTAAAACGTACAATGTCATTATTATTATCAATTCACTGAGGAATGAAGCTGTAAATCGAATTGAAAAATTACTGCTCGGTACTTGAGGAAAATGAACAGGTACATAACACTGCACCAGTTGGGGGATGGAACCTACGGATCCGTGGTGCTGGGACAGCGTAAGGACACCGGCGAAAAGGTTGCCATCAAAAGAATGAAACGCAAGTATTATTCATGGGAAGAGGCCATGAATTTGAGAGAAGTTAAGGTAAATAATTTAGAAAATAACCGTACTGTTAGTTTATTGATTTTTCACCCACGTGGTATTAATTCCATTTTTTTAATGGCACACGTGCAATAAACCATTCAAAAAAATGTATGCATTTCTCAATAATTCAATAACACCAGACTACAGGACTATAATATGTTCATAATAAGTAATATATGAAATTTTCAATAAATTATAACAATAGTTTATAGTTAATATAAACAGGAAGTTAAAATGCAAATACTTTTAGTAATTGTTTTTCATTTTTCTTTTAACAATAGTAGAAAAATTCAAATCTTCTCCACCTTCACTACTTTTTCATACCATAAAATAATAGACATTTATTTATCATGGTACTGTGAGCGATATTTGAAATGGTTTTACTTCTGCGAAATACATTTTGATTACAATAAATAATATACACAACAATGTAACAACTTCATTCTTTAGATCTCTAACATTCGGTAATCAACGACTCAACTGTAGCCAATATATAGATTTATTTATCGCTCACTCAATCTATCCATCAATATTATATCATGACTGTATTAGATCAGCTCGAATTATATTGTCCTATAAGCGAATACAGGATTCGACGCCCTAACAATCCATTACAGAACCGAGTAAATGAAAAATTAAAAAACATATTGATTCCAATATTCAGTCATCCGCATATTCTATGTGATTTTATATTATTTATATTTTAAAAAGTATTAATTATTAAGTTTTTTTTCAATTTTTCTTTCATTCTAATTTAAATAATACTATTTATTGCAATAATACAAAAAAACACTAAACATAATTTAACATTTCCATACAATTCTAAATTATTTAATTTGTTTATTTAAATTTGACCAAATGAAATTAAACATCAATAGGAACAATAATAAAATTATGTTAATATTTACAAAAAATGTTTGTTAGATATCTTGAATTTTATTCTTATTGTGTTCATAATTAATAAGTCAAATCGATTTAATGTAACGTATTCATATATTAAAGTTTTGACTAATCCTATTGTTTTGGAATTTAGAATACCCTTATATTATTTTTTTGAAATTGTGATATCTGGTACCAGCAACAGGGAAATCCTTCACATTTCACTGAAGTTCAGAGGTATTTGGACTACATCGGAGGAAGTAGGACTAACGATTTAGCAGTAGCGAAGGCTCACGTTATAAATAAGTTAAATCCGCTCACTATCGCTTGAAAGTTTGAACAACTGTCGAGTGAATTACGAAATCCAAATAACTAATAGTATTTCCTCAAACGTATTCAAAAAATCGAATTTTCAATTATATTATATAATATTAATTACATTTAAATCAGAGAAAAATAATCATTTCATTTAATTTATCAAATTTTAGGAATTAGATCTATATTATTTATATTATTATTTATAACTAAAAAAAATTAAAATAAGTAATTAAGTTCATACGTAAAGAAAATTGTAAGGTTATTTTTCCTATTTTTTCAATATTCATATCATTAACAAAATACAGTCGTCTCTGAATTTACACGAATTTCCGTTACACGTTATTTTTTACGCGAAAAGCTAGTATAACTTTTGGAAATAAATATTTATTTCTTATAACTTAAGAAAAAATAATTGACATTTTAGAAAACAAGTGTAAATATTAATCGGCGTCACAAACACTATTTAAAACAATCAACATTTTCTTTATAATTGACGCAAACTCATTATTCATTGCTTGAAATATTTAGAAATTTTTATTATTAATATTTTTTTTTCGTATGATTTTTTTATATATTCTGCAACATTAAAATTTGTCGAAATTTAAAGGATCCTTGAATGTCTATAATTTTCCATTTTTTTGGCTAATTCAAGAGCTTTGCAAAGATTTACTGCACTGCAAAACGTTCACAGAAAAAATATTTTCAGTTCGCGTATAAAAAATATCGCGTAAATTGTGTTTATAAACGCGTAAAAAAACTTTCACGTAAAAATATGGCGTAAAAATTGAATACCGTACTGCTTATTAGCTGTATAATACAAATTCATTTGATTTGAGAAATAAACATATGAATAGCTATTATTTATTAATGTTATAGCAATTAATGAATATAAATAATGTTTTTAAGGTGGTACCACCTACTGTAAACAATAAGTTAAATCCGTAAATCCGTATAAATGGTATTTAATTATTACAGAGACAAGTGACTCCAAGTTTGTACTGTATTCAAATTATTTAATTTCTACACAACTATTAAAATAGCTGTAATTTTGCTTTTAATTTGCAGTCTTTGAAGAAATTACACCACAGCAACGTGGTGAAACTGAAGGAAGTAATCCGTGAGAATGATGTCCTTTACTTCGTATTTGAGTATATGCAAGAGAATTTGTACCAATTGATAAAAGATAGGAGGGTGCCTTACCCCGAATCCATAGTTAGGAATATGCTGTACCAGGTAATTTAGTTATTGCATGATGGATTTGATGTTAATTGCTATGTTCGCTTCAGATACTTCAGGGCCTTGCGTTCATTCATCGCCACGGTTTTTTTCATCGCGACTTAAAACCAGAGAATATTTTGTGCTGCGGTCCAGACTTGGTAAAGATTGCAGACTTTGGTCTGGTTCGGGAGATCCGATCAAGGCCTCCGTATACAGACTACGTTTCGACCAGATGGTATCGAGCACCAGAGGTCTTACTGCATTCGACAACGTATAGTAGCCCCATCGACTTGTGGGCAGTCGGCTGTATCGCAGCTGAGATCTACACCTATCGACCTTTATTTCCTGGAACCACTGAAACCGATCAGCTCTATAAAATATGCCAAATTCTAGGGACCCCTGATAAAGTACATTAAGCATCAATCCGCACTATGTTTATGATTTCGTTTCTTTTTATGTAACAGAAAAAATGGCCAGAGGGATACCAGTTAGCTGGAGCTGTTGGCTTTAAGTTTCCTTACTTCAGCCAGACGCCTTTGAGCGCCGTTGTGCCACAAGCAAGCCAAGTCGCCGTGAAATTAATGGACATCCTGATGGATTGGAACCCCTCCAACAGGCCAACGGCCCAAGCTGCTTTGAAGCACACGTACTTCCAGGTGAGTCTTGCTGGTACATGGAATAGAGGTCAAAGCAATAAACAAATCTCCGCTACGGCTGAAGTAAATTGCCATTGCATGTTAGGCGGAATTTGCATTTTATCGCTGATATTACGTCGGTCAGTTTATTTATGCGGAAATACGGTTTCATGCCCCCATTAGAACAACTACGTTAAATGCATGATGTGACAATCATAACTAAAACAAAAATTAATGCGTTGTTCGAACATCTAATAATATTTTCAAATACATATACAAAAAAGTTCAAAGAAAAAATATGTTTAATAATTGAATTAACTGTCACTGTAATTTTTATCACATTTATTTAGTTTCAATCGATTTCTATTTTGATGAATATTTTATTTTTATAATTCAAATTTTAATATAAAATAAAATATGTAGGTTTGATACCTTAACATTTTTTGGAAAGCCCGGACGCATGTCAATCCTAGATTATCGTCTCAGAACGTCTAGAAATAATTTGTTATGAGGTTCCAATAATTTATATGACAAATATTTAACATTTTGATAATACAGGTATCCCCCGACTTAAGAACTAGTTCCAAACGGTTGTTCGTAAGTCGAGGGAATTTTAAAAATTTCAAAAAATATACATATCTTACCACACTTTAAAATGGTTTTTTTATATGTAAAATTCCGTATTACGAACTGCATAAATTTGAAAAAAAAAATAGATAAAAGTAAACAAAATACTTTCTTACAAATACTTTTCAATGTAGACATCATAATTATTTAATAACAAACGACAAAAGATACAAATACAACAAAACAGATAGAGTACATCTTCCAAAAATATTATATTTTATTAAAGAAATTATCAATTTTTGTTTGGACACTTCATTTTTTTATTACTATCCTGGTAACAAGTTAGAGCTTTAAGAATTTTGTTCGTAAGACTCGGCGGATACCTGTATCTTCAACTTCGTAAAATTGAAAATCTTGTTTGTATTGAACCTCGAGATATCAATCATTTTTATTAACTATATATGACAATAATAATATTTTATTGTCTATATGACATTTTTTATATACATATTTAATTAAAATATAGTATTTACCATTTGCATTTTAATAACAAGGAAAATCATATTAATTTAATATGTTAATAATAATTACGTTTATTCACACAATAGTCACAAAAAAATAAAATAAAAATAAAACTTGTATAAAAAAAATACATATTAATAATTTAATCATTAGAAAACATAGCAATATATTTCCGTCCGTTAACAAATATTATTTTTATTCCTTTTTTTTTGTATTTTTGTGCTTATTTTTTCAATTAGTTGATTAGTACTTTGCGATTGCCTATTAAGAAGTATTATAACTAATCTAGTGTAATTTGTATCAACAATGAAAGAATGTGGTCAAATCCATTATTAAAAGATATGTACATAATTTCTAGCATATCGTTTATAAATAATTACTTTATCGATACCATGAAATGTAGAGCAGATAAAAGTATATTAATAAGAAAATCAATTTTTATTCTTTAATTTAATGTTATAATTACATACACATTACTGTTATCAATATTATAAGATACTCGTTTATGTTTGCATATCTACCAAATCATAATTTATTTTAATATATTAATAACATGCTGTAAATATTAGTTCATTTTATCATATTTATTGAGTTATTGATATTAATTGTTTATTATAAGAATACATTTAGTATATGATATTCATTTCATATTATAAAGCAGTTACTATTTCATCAACGACTTCCGATTTATTGATTTAGAGGTTGTTTATAGACATCGATTAATCAATGATATAATTAATATAAAATAGCAATTACAGCGTTACTAAGTGTATTGATATTTTCAATCTATTGTAATTGAATCTTACTATTTTAGAATGGTTTACTTGTATGTGTTTTGTCCATGACATGATATGTGAAAGGTAAAGGTTACAGAAATTTAAATATTAATCTATTTGAAATATGCAACAGATAAATGAAATGAATGCACGCATATTTCAATGGCATGATGTGCATTGCCATGATTATGTTAAAAAAATGATCAATGATCATTGTAAATATTTATTATATTCTGAATAATTTAAGGATTATAATTTATAACATACATGAATCTTATTCCATTACATTAATATCTCACATAGTGGTTCTTCGATCAGTCCGAATTCACTATAGTGAATAAAATAAAAATTGAATAAAAACAAAATTTTAATTGAGCAAAATAAACATTTATTCTAAAAAAATAGTCAAAACATTATTTTGATTTACATAGTCAAATTTCTTTCTTGTGCATTTTATTTTTATGAGGTTTTAATGTTCTTGATTAGTCCGGGATATTGGCGATATCGATTGCCCGCACTATGAGAGGTATTGCTATACTTAATAATTCTGTATATGTATATTAAATAAATAATAAAATAACAATTTCGTAAGGCCGGATAAATCCTACAAATTAAAACCTTCTATAGTATTTGGGAAAATAAAACAATATTTGTAAACTCAATGAACCGTTTAAAATGATTAACGCATGAATTTACAGACTCGCATATATTTTGAAGAATTATTTGTAAACCAAATCTCATCTATTTGAAAATTGATTGGTAAATAAATAAAGTGAAATTACGTTTCCATATATTTAATTAAAGAAAATCAATTTAATTTTCTTTTGTGTTCTACTTTTCTTGGCATCGGCAACTTAATTATTTAGAAACGATTTGCTACAATTTGTATGTACCAAGGACATATAACGGTCATTTGTATCTTCGTGTACTATTTATCTTTTAATAATAGATTTGATATCGCTTTATTTCATCATTAATGCTATTGATCTGTTATATATTTCTTATCATATAGCATTGATTAAGAAACATGCTTACTTTATCATCGCATCATAATGTTATACCTACGAATCTTAATTTCAAAACTAAATGACTAAAGGTTGCTGTAATATTCCAGACTGTTTGAAACGAGACACAACAAATAAAATAAATACAGAGACTTGACTGTATAAAGGAAAAAGCCAATCATTTATGTAAAATAATTCTGTGTACAATTTTTTTAGATTTTTCTTATTTTGTACAATTAATAGATAGTATTAGGTTGTATTCACAAAAATTAATTTTTTCAAATCTTGATGAGTCTAAGGTTTGTTTTTTTATTTTTTACACCGGACTATAGTTAATCCGGACTTATCGAAGACTGAATATGCGAAGTTTTGTTGTGCAAATATTGTAAACGTATGTAAAATGATATGTAAATGATTAAACTTATAATTTACAATTAGTAATGTGAATTTTTCATTTCATTTTAAAATAATCTGCAGACATTCCAGAGTAATTCAAATACTTGCAGATTAAGTCCATAACGTAACATCTAAATATATTGATAGATCCATGGTCTTAGAATAGTTTTTAATAATTTGAATCATCTTGCGGAAATATCGCGATTAAACCTCATTGTACATATTTATATGTTTGCATAATTTATTAATTACATAACAAGAATACATTCAAAATGATCCATAAATCAGTGTTTTATGACAATATACGTTTGAATTCAAGACTATTTTAATATCAAAATTTTCAAAAAGTCCGATACAATATAAATTGAGATAATTAATATCAATTATCATAATTTCCCTAAAGAGTTCCTGTCGGTCAACAAAAATGCTTTCACAAATGAGGGGTATGATCAAAGTAGTAAGAATGACATAATTCATATTAGTCTGTTTCTTCTTGTCTTTCTACTAGTCGTATCACTTAATATTATTAAATATTTTATACTGCAGTTGAAGTGTACTCTATATACTTAGTAGTCAATCCTTAATGATCGTAGGTTGGCCAACAGTACACTGCATTATTAGCGCCCGATAACTTCAATCAATTCGCCTTGCTGAATAATTCGAGCAAATCACTCTATTCCATCAAGAATCCAAACATCAGCGAGAACAGTATACAGCATGTGACACAACAGCCTAAAGCTCAGGTTTGCATAATCCGTTTCTCGATCAATGTACATCAATTGAAGTGCTTTTACTTTGTTTGTTTTTAGATCACCATGCAACCTTTGATAAAACCAATTCAGATCACAAGAAACCAGCCGGTCCAAGCTGTAGCTCCCATTGTTTATAGCTTCGGTCAGAGCGATTACAATAATAGGTACATACCGGATAATCAAATAAAGAAGATTCCTTGGAACAAAGGGGAGAACGGCGATGGCGACGATAATGTTACGAAAAGGTTGCTTACTACAATTCATAAACTGATATTAAATATTATTCAATTACTTATGTTTTTTTCAGCAACAAATTGAATAATGCTAAAGAAAATGTTGTGGATTTAAAGTGGACTAGTTTGCAGGATATCATGGAACCGAAGAAGTCGGTGGCTTCTGCAAAAAGTCAATACTTGTCCGTTTCTAGATACATCGCTGGTCAAACGACGGATCTGCATGGAAAGAATGGCATCAATAATTTTAATAAGAAAGCAGGTGATTTATTCAATTCATTCTTTCTCTTTGCTTCTTTGCGTTCCCATCGCGTTGGGACATTTATTATTTACAGTAAGGACAAGTGCTATCATACGTGCCGATCAGATATCTATATTTAATGCCCCAACAACAAAACAGACACGTGTAAAGCAACGCCATTCGACTACAGACCTAATATAATAATTGCTACTTGGTTCTAACAACATAATGAATAATCAAATGTTCATATTTTTTTTAAAACCAAAATTATTAAACAATAATAAACAAGTCATTGATTCATTGTTTATCAATATATTTATGAGATAAATTCGTTTCACAGAAAAGGTGAACCTTTATGCTATTGTCCAAGGTCATTCTCTAGATAAAATATTGTGCATATTAATGGATATTGATTTATTGTATATATGTATATTTTTATCGGATTATATTTGTAAAAAATAAATTAGCTTTAATGTTAATATTTTAGGTGATGTGGGTTTGTCGTCGATTTTTAATGATAGCATGTTAGATTTTCAAGGAATTCCATCGGGAAAACAAAGGACTTTGAAGAATATTACGGGCAATGCAGTTTCGCACGGGAGGACGGATTGGGCAGCTAAGTATGTTTAACAATGCATTCTTAATAAATATACTTAGCATAAATGTATATATTTAGAAACTGACGTAGGTACATTAGAACTTTTATATTTTTATAAATGTTTTTCTTCCTAACACAATTTAAATCCATATATTTGTATTGTATTGTAAGACATATATCATTTTACGTTTTTCTTTAATTTATATTAACTTGCAATAGTATTTAATAACTTATTTGCTTTGTTTCAGATATCTCAAATGAGTTTAGAAGCAACGACTGTGATAGAATATAACATAAATTTATCGTTACAATAAAATATCTCTATATACAAAAAAACATGTATTGTAATAATTTAGCTCGATAAACAAAATAATAAACATTTTATTTATATAATTAGTGAGTTTATA